TCGGTACTCAGTATCGGCAAGTACCGAAAATAGAAGTATCTGAATCGGGCGAGTACTGGAAAAAGTGGTATCGGTGCATCCCTAGAACGCAGGGTTGTCCTTGAGGACGAATCCAATTAACAAAAAATGTGGACGCAAAGTGGCTGCAAAAGCATAGTAGACACTGACAAGCTAGGCGATATCACGTTCATAATCGAATGCGATTCATCTGCGATTATGAACGCGATATTGCCTAAATGTCAGTGAACTACGGCTCTGTGTAGTGAATGCCGCTCCATCTGAAAGCAGGTGATGGAGATTTACTACCAATCACGGGACCGGCTTTATGTCAAGATGCGCTTGACAATCGCATGCGATTAATTGCACAGCCCTAGCATGAAGAGCAGCATAATTTGAAATCACGAGTTTAAAGTTTGTCGATCGTGCGTCTTCAGTGAAGCTGAACTCTCCTCCTGTCCGCATCCAATTCGCACGGACCGACCGTCATGCAGAGTACACGTGATCATGCAGGATACAAATGCACACTTCACAAGATCTCACAGCTGGATTCGACTAAGTTTGCAAGGCTTTTGAAATTAGATGTTCATTAGTCATTCAAAGATTTGTTTAAATTATATAAATGCGTATTTGCTGAATGCTGACGGCAAACGAGAAAGTATTATAATGTTTGCCTTTCTATCACTAACAATATAATTAATAATTAATTATAATTTATGCATTTAGCAGATGCTTTTATCCAAAGCGACTTACAGTGCATTCAGGCTATACATTGTTTTACCAGTATGTGAGTTCCCTGGGAGTCGAACCCACGACCTTTTGCGCTGCTAACGCAATGCTCTACCACTGAGCCACAGGAGCACGATTTAACAGTTCTATCTGATTATTAGACAGACTTATGTCCGTGGACAGAACTGTTAACGACAACAGGACAAGAGGGAAAATGTGAGCACTGTGTGTTCAGGCGCTGCCGTTCTCAGCGCTGTCAAAATAAAAGTCCCGCTACGAATGCATCGGCCAAACAGAAAAACTTATTGGCCGATGCCGATATTTGAAAAGTACGGTACCTTTGATGTACCGTAAACTGTAGTGTGAAGGTGCACGACTCGGCCTCGCTGTCTCACACACACACAAAGAGAGAGTGCGAGAGCTAGACAGTCTGTCTACCATGCAGAATTGACACGCTACATGTAAATTGTATTCTTTGTTGTATTTTCCTGTCAAAATTCAGAGTTCCTTTGGAATTCTTCAGCTTTTAAGAACTGCCGGGTTCTCCGGTAGTGGGCGGAACTAATGCGCAAATTGCAATTGGCTGGCGCTCACCTATTATCAACCGTTTTGATTTCAGCAAATCAATTGGAGCAAACGCAGATAACGTGATTAATATTCATGAACCCAGCAGCTCATGATTCCTTAGTAGGACTGAGCAAAAAAATATTTTACGATTAATAATTTTTTGAAATGATGTTGATTCGATAACGATTCTCAAAAGCCACGAATCGGTCTTTTTCGGTATTTATTTCAGCAAACATTTAAAACAAGATCTGATTAGTGTGAATCGTATCATTAGACTTCTCCACTAGATGTCACCCTCTTATTTACCTTGCATGATGTTACAACAGAAAGCCTGTCATTCATTCAGTGCTTATCATGGCGGAGATACTATTGACAAGAACCAAGAACAAAGCATTATGCGTGATTTGCAATGCTCAGGTGAAATGCTAATACTACAAATCTGTGGAAGCATTTGGCATCACGTGTAAAGGCCCCATGATTTCTGCAATGAATAAATGGCGGATGCGTATTTGCTGAATGCTGACGGCAAACGAGAAAGTATTATAATGTTTGCCTTTCTATTACTAATAATATAAAAGCAATACTTATAATACTTTTTGTGAGCACTGTGTGCTCAGGCGCCACTGCTCTCAGCGCAGTCAAAATAAAAGTCCCGCCTCGAACGCATCGGCCAAACAGAACAACTTAATGGCCGATGCCGATATTTGAAAAATGGCAAATATCGGCCTTGGCGATATATCGGTCGACCACTACTTAATATATCAATTATCTAGAAGTAAATGCAATTTAAGCATTGAATGCAAGTACTGAATAATGTTTTTCTTATATTTATTGCGTTTAAACACGTCTATTAAAAGATTGTATTACTGTACCGTATAAAAAAAATAATTATAATGTGAAAAAGCCATTTAAGTAACAATGTTTGGATTTGGATTGGGTGCTTCTGCACTGCTTACGTACTACACATGGACTGCATATGCACTGCAAACAGAGTATGTGTGAACCTGGTGTAAAAGGCCGCCTCTCATACAGCTCATGAAATCAGGCTTGCGCTGTGTGTAAGCTAATGTGCAACAATTGCACGATTGTAAAAACAAAAATGCAGTGCATGATAAAACATTTAGGTGAGATAAATATATACATTTGAAAAATGTCTTAAAAATGCCCCCCTCCACCCCTCAAATTAAAAAAAAAAAAATCCCCTCTCACAAGAGTCACCTAAGAGGGGAATTCATTTTTAAAATCTTGATTGGATCATCACTATAAATAATTCTACATGATAAAAAGAAGGCTTTAAAAAGATCGATATCGGTAGATATTGCTTTATGTGATCGGCGATCAATAATCGGCCACAAAAATCCTGATCAGAGCACCCCTAATAAACACCAACCTCCTTGTTCCTCGTGTTTTATTCTGCAGGGTTCTGGTTCCTCGTGTTTTATTCTGCAGGGTTCTGGATCCTCGTGTTTTATTCTGCAGGGTTCTGGTTCACTCGTGTTCTCTTCTCTCTCCTCTTTAACAAACACCATCTTCACAGCAGATCTCAGTTCAGATGATTCTCCTCCAGATATTCCTGCTTGCTTCAAAACTTAGTCACGACTATGAGGATCAGAATATTATAGGTATTTACTGACCTGATTCAAAAACTGTGTTTTTCTATTTACAGAAACTACATCTCTAACAGATCGTATTAAAACAGCACCACAACAAAACAAAACAGAGAGAGCGGTTAAGGTAAACTTCTTCTTCTGAGGTTTAATGGTGTTTGGCAAACAAACGTGTGTGTGTTAGCGCCTCCCGCTGGACTGGAGAGTGAAGCGGCGAGAGGAGAGAAAATAATACGGGGGAAATAACTTATAATGTGCGCTGATTTGTTTTCCTTTTAAAAAGCCGATCTGTACAAATAAATTAAAAGAAATTTAAATTATAGACTCGCGTGGTATTTGATCAGCATCAGCAGTCTTCGTGAGTGTACGAGCGAATTTTTTCAAAGTTGCAGCATGTAAATATGGAAATTAAGATAAATTAAAACACATGATAATGATAAGATGTAGCCTTATTTAAAAAAACGAACTAAATCCTAAATATTAAACAGGTTTAGCCTGAAAAACAGCACCCTTGGTTTATGTGTCCATCTAAATATCTGAAACTTAAACAGTTGAATGACAGGTAATGTGCATTCCAAAACCGCAAAATAAGATATTTTGAAGATGTTTCTGAGAAGCTGCTTTTGAGGATTAAACTTGATATTGAAATTGATATTGCCTTTTGCAGTGTCTAACATCAGATTCTGTGGTGAAGAGAATAACTAAATAGGATATTGCTTTATATCGCCTCCAATTGTACAAGAAGCTGTGAGACCCAAATTCAAAGCCATAACTTTATTGTGTTAAAGTCATTTTTTATTTGGTGCTGAATAAATGTAAAATCTGGGTACCGTAATCATATATTAATGGACAGAGTTAATCCTATTTAATCTGATTGTTGATGTGCTCAGACTATTTTTTTATTAATTAAAAATAAATAAAACAATAAAACAATGTTTTTTTATAATAATGATTAGGCATCCAGACAGATCATTTCCATGCTGCTTATACTACTCTGCTGAAAAAACAAAAACAAAAAAAACAATAGACACCATCTTAAAATGTGTAATGGTTTTACTGGATATAATGGGACTTGTATTGGTTTTAATGAAAACTGTAATTGACTCTGTGGGTTTTTACCAGGGCCGTTTCTAGGCATAGGCGAGCTAGGCGGTCGCCTAGGGCGCCACCAGCTGAAGGGGCGCCAATGAGCGCACGTACTGGCACTTTTAGCAGGGTTGTGATAAAGAGTGGCACGGTGACCCTGAAATATTATATTCCCATATAAACTTTAACATCCAATGAAAAATATTTGTATAGTAAAATTCGCTAATTCACGAGATCAATAC